TTTTTTGATCGTCTTACCCATGGAGGAGAGCGGAACTTACTTACCCATCCCCCCCACCATATATATATATATATATATATATATATTAGATATATCACGCAGCTGCAGCCTGGACCCCTCCTGCACACAGTTTGCGGGTCTGATGCACCAGCTGCTTGCGCCCAGGACGGCACGCCACGCTCGCCTTTTTCGTCTTGTGAATGGCCTTGCCTCTTCTTCATCGTCATCATCATCGTCTGCCGCCACAGCCGGGGTGCCAAAGACGGACGGAGAGCGTTTAATGTGGGTGAACTCGCACGTTAAGCGTAATAAAGACATTGAGTTGTCTCGTGAAGAGGAAAGTCTTCGGGAAAGGCAAATGCCCTTGGACCTGGGCGAGAATGCCTTCACCTCCAGTGCCCAGGCAACTCACGGCAGCCTGTTTCACTTTCGCGAATACCCCATGTACCCAGGGGAGTACGTCCCAGCTGAACACAACACGCTGTCTTCCCTTCGTCACGAGCTGCGGATGGAGCTTACCGCGCAGTCGCTTAAGGAGGCGTGGATGCGTGTCAGCGGCGGGGTTTATTTTCAGTCAGTTGAGGAATACTACGCGTCGGTGGACGGCCTCGACGCAGAACAACTCGGAGAGGTCCTTGCTGCCCTTTTTCCAGAGCTCAGCTCCTACGAGGCCCAAGCGCTTGTGCAGTGTACGCTGGAGTCCATCAGCAAACCGATGAACACGGCATCGCGTCAGCTGAGCCGTACCATTACAGCGGATGCGGTTGGCCTCGATAATGCGCCTGGGCATTACACAAATTTCTTGGAGTGGATGGGCCGCCTCACAGAGACGCGGGGGTTTAAGACGGAGCATGCCCTCTTCCAGTTCAGCCGCCGAAAGTTTAATAGAGATGATGTTCGTGTCATGTTTGAGAACTACAAGCTTATGAGCCGGGCGACGCTCCTTGCAGATAGCGCCGACAGCTACAGTCACTTTTACACGGTGCTGAAAGATTTTGCGCGGAAAGTGGCTGGCGAGGACTCACGCCATCAGATTGGCGTGCGCATTGACGAGCCGGAGGTGGACGCGGAGACCGGCATTGCCGTCGGCCGAGGGTGTGCGGATGGGGATAAGTATCAATTCACCGCCCTCTTGCGTGAGAACCGCGACCGTAACGGCGCCATCACCATCATGGGCAAACCGTTGGCCCTTGTGCTGGATAACAAGGCCTGGCTGATGGAGATGCTGCTCATGCCCTTTGACGAGGCGAACTTGGACTACCGAGACTTCGACGTGCACATAGTGGCTGAGGGGCATGCGATGCCTTCAATCGCAAACGAAATCGCGGCGTTTGCGCTGCGTATGGCGATTGCTAACGCTCTTGTGAAGTTGTTGCCGCTCACACGCATTCCGCTGAAGAAGTCCGGCCTGCTCTCCGTGGACCGTCGGCGCGAGAAGGGTCAGTTTCCCGGATATCTGGACGGAAAGCGGGTCAAGCGAAAGTTTGCCAAACGTTAGTGTTGACGACTCTGTGCCTGCTGCGGCGAGTGGCGGAGGAGAGGGGAAGGAAGTGGAGGAAGCAGTGGTTTATGTGACACAACACCTGCTGTGCCTGGGCGTACAGGGCGCTGTTTTTTTTTTTCACTCGTTTTTGCATTTTACGCCACCCCCTCTTTTTTTTTGTTTTTGTTTCTGCTATTGCGTGGATTCTGCCACTACTTCTACTGCGCTCGTTTGCCCCCGCTTTCTCGCCGTCACTCTGCCGGGCGTGTGGCCTGTCTTCGACAGGCAGGATCTAGGAAGGAATGCTGCTCATCCTCCTTGCAGCGATCATTTGGGGAACAACCAATCCGTTGCTGAAACGCTACAGCAGCGGCATGGCTGCAGGGTCCTCCTCGTTTGCGGAGGATTTTTGCTTCCTTGCGTCGCGGCCAAAGTACCTGGCGACACAGCTTCTCAACCTGGGTGGGTCGGTTTGCTTCTTCGCCGGGCTGCGTCACGTCGACGTGGCGGTTGGCAGCACGGTCGCTAACTCCTTGGCGTTTGTGCTCACCGTGCTGATGAGTGCCTTTGTAATGCGGGAGGGCCCACTGCAGCCGGTGACGCTTCTGGGCTGCACTCTGGTGGTAGCGGGGACGGCGCTGTGTGGGCTCGCCTCCTCTATACACGGCTAAGGGAGCAAACCGTGCGAGAGCATAGGCAGAAACGGAAAAGATAAAACAATCTCAACAGCGACGGGCCCCACGACGGGGATGATCGGATACGAAAAAGTTGATTGCTTTACTTACAGCTGCTTCTTTGCCGTTCTTGTTCTTGTTGTTTTTTTCCTTCTCTCTCTCTTTGCGACACCCACGATGTGTTTGCGTGTGAACACCTGCATCCTCACACAAAAAGGATGAATTCATGAAGCGCATTGTTGCACCGAGGCGTTGGTCCCATGTCAACCGAGTGGAGCACCCACCGCTCATGCTGAAGCAGCTCTTCCAGGGTGTGTGCGGGGGGCTGCGGTGGCTGGAGGCGAAGGAGCTCGCCGAGCACCTGGCGACACGGGCGATTGAAGACGGCTACCCAAGCACCAACAGAATTCGCCAGGCCCTTCAGGTCAAGCGGGCCCCACGGAGTCGGCGTCAACAGATGCGGGAGGAGATGAGGAGCGAAGCGGCGGCCGCTCTCCCGCTGACGTCCTCCCACAACACACTAACAGTGACGGGGGGCCTCTCGCTGCGGGTGACAAAGCCGAAGAGAGCGGTGCTGTATGATGTATTGGATTGTACCCTCGGCGGTGGCTTTCATGCGGGGGCAGTACTTGAGAACGGAGCGCCCTACACACGCGTCGTCGCCATGGACTGTGACCACGACGCCATGCACGCCGCAGCGGAGTTGGCTGACCAGTTTGGTGCAGACCGTTTAAAGTTTTTCTGCTGCAAAATGTCGGAGGCAAAGTCGTTCTTTGGCGAACGCTCCTTCGACGCGGTCATGATTGACACCGGTCCCTCCGAGACGCAGCTGGAGGATCCGGAGCGCGGATTTCTGCTTGACGACGAAAGTGCTCACCACCTTGACATGCGCTACGGGCCACAGGTGGGGCTTGGCGCCCTTGCGTACCTCAACACAGTGCCGCAACACGTCCTGTCCGGTGCGCTGCGTGCCTACGGCCTTCTCACACCGGAGCAGTCAATGAAGATGGCACGCGAAGTGCGGCGCCGTCGACCTTTCACCTCCTCACAGGAGGTGCTTGGCTGCGCTGAGCTCGCTGGTGATGTGCTACCCGAGGAAGGTTGGAGAACGCAGAGCAGTCGACGGAAAACACCCATGTCTTTGAAGTTTCTCACCTCGTTACGCTGCATTGTGAACAATGAGATGTACGAGCTGCGAGAGGCCGTTAAGAATGCGCTGCTGCTGCTGCGAGACGACGGCCGTCTGGTTGTATTCTCCCGACTCGGGTGGGAGGAACAGTTGATTCGGAACACCGTTGAGGGCCATCCATACGCGCTCTTGTGTTACACGGAGGATGTGCCCGCGGAGGAGGTGGGTGACTACGGCTTCACACGGCACACAAAGATGTGGGTAGTGGTGCGCACTGCCAAGTCCTCCTGTGCTCTGAAAAACGCCGCTTCCCTCACAGAGGAGAGGGTTAGGGAGAGTTCGCTGCGGTGGCTGAGCGGCATGTACGCTGGGCAGACGTACGGTTTTCCTGCGAACAACTTTACCTTCGAAAACAAGGAGCCAAGGGAGCGACGCACGTTGGAGCGGAACGACAGGCCGCCACCGCCAGACTACGGGCTCGCTGACAAGTAGCCAACACCCGCTTCGTCGCTGGTGTCTTCTGGAGATCGCACGAACGCGTGACGGGGCGCACACCCACGGCGTTTTGCCTCCCTCTTCTTCCTTCCCGTGGCCGGCCGCAGGGGCGTGGCCCCACACGTTGCGGTGTGGGGTGGAGGTGGGTAGTCAGGGAAGAGCGGGGCCGCCGTGGCTGGTGACGGGGCCTCGAGCGATGCCCTGTCACTCAGCCGCCGTTGTCGACTTCGCGTGTAGGCGACAGTCCGCTATGTTGTCTTCTCCGGGCTGTCTCTTCTCCGGCTTTCCACATGCGTGGTGCGCACTGCACCCTTCCACTGAAGTGCCTGATGCAATGTCGCTGTCATTGCCCACTTTACTTCTCTTGCCTTCTTCTTTCTTTGTCGCACGCACACGCAGAGTAGAGATATTAAACGCTACTCGCTGCTGTGTGCTTTGAGGGCTCTGCACTCCCCACCAGTAGCAACACACACACACACAACCGTTGCGGCCTGAGCGGATCACCCCACAAGGAGGAAAACGAGAGAGTGAGCAGCAACACATGCCCAACATGTACCGGCACCTGTTTTCTTTTTCGGTGCTGCTGCTCCTCTGCGTGCCGCTGATATCTTTCAGCAGTAAAGCTGCCAACGCTGAGGGGAATAAAGCAAAGGAAGTTAAGCGGCTACAGTCCGTCGATCTTTTTGTGCCGAGTAAGACGCAAATAGAATCAGACGGTGGGCGTCGAACGAAGGATTTTTTTGATGTACCTTCTCTCGCCAGTGTTGGTGGAGTCTTGATTGCTTTTGCCGAGGGCCACATCAACTATACAAACAGCCTCCATCCGGGGCCGAATAGGCTTACTTTTTCCGATATTGTGGCAGGGTACATCAACGCTGCGAGAGCTGGTCGTCTCTTGTCGCTGAGGTCAGTGGAAACNCTTGGAAG